GGCTGAAAGCCTCTGGCGACGGTGCCGAGGTCGTACCTCCTCTCCTGCTGCCGTTTCCGCTGGTGGAGGTTTGCTGTGAAGCAGCCCCGCCTCCTTTGACTCATCTACGTCGCCCTCTCCTGATTGGCTCTCAGAGGACAGGAAGCTGTCCGAGGACAGAGCGGGGACGTTGGAGACCGCTGGCCTCAACTCTGTGATGTTAACAGCTGGAAGCAGCAATTGTAAAACAGCTGGACCAAACCAGCGCAGACCTGCGGAGGGAGGAGTCCAGTTACATCACTTCCTGAAAGTCAGCTGTGATCATGTGACTGCTGTGTTTCCTGTCTGGAGAATCGTCACGTTTGCTGTTAAAACTGATTTAATTTAAGATCAATGAACTCACCGAACAGGAGAAACAGCAGAGAAAGAAGCACCAGGAGGACAGGAAACCTGCAGAGACGTCAGCCATGTTTTAGGGAGCCTTCCTTCCTATTCAAGCTTAAACGTATTTGAGCGTCGAACATCGAACAGGTCTGAAGCAGATTATGATGAAACGTAATGAATCAGCTCAAACTTGCCAACTCAGCGGTGTGTTTGTGGTCATGTGACACCACCGTGTGTGGAGCCACCTGAAGGCGTCGCCTGCCGTCCGACCTGCAGACACAGAACGATAAAGCCAATCAGAACACAGATTCAGATGGATGGGAGGGGCAAGGGAGGGACACACACACACACACACACACACACACAGCAGCTAAGCAACAAACAGCTGGGGGTCGGGTCAGGGAGCAAAGCCGCTACATATCAAATGCACACATGGCGGCGTTAACCTGCAGAGCGTGCGGCGGTCCACGAAGCAGAACCGGCTTTCCTGCTCAGAGGCCCGAGGGCCCGAGCCGCTCTCTGAGCGAGGTCAAAGAGAACCGAAGCTGCAGGAGGAGAGGAGGAAGGTCAGCACGGCGGGAAGCGGACGCTCTCGGGCCACGCCCATTTTGGCCAAAGTCAGTCTGGTTTTTAAGGCCTGACCAAACCAAACGCTCCGGCGAGCTCAGCCCTTAAAAACAGAA